AATTTCCCAAATACAAAAATGTTGCAAAATAAACGTGCATTATCGTAATTGCTTCATGGCAATATAGACATTAATTTAAAAATAGTGAAATTAATCTTGCAAACACTGAATTAAACTCTATCCATAATATTATGTTCAAATAGTGGATGTTAAATAAGTTTGTACAATAAGTCCAAACAAGTTTAACCACAAAATATTTATTTCTCACAATTATGAAGAGTTAGGGTTAGGGTTATTTTAAAATAATTTCCCAAATACAAAAATCTTGCAAAATAGACGTGCATTATCGTAATTGCTTCACGGCAATATAGACATTAATTTAAGAATAGTGACATTAATCTTGCAAACACTGAATTGGAAAGGAAAGGATATCAAAGTCCGCCCACATCCATGTCGGGCATTTTGATTAGGTCGCCAATAGGAAGATCCCAGGCTATTTTTCGGTGATGTTTTTTTTTCACGTTGACTTGAAAGTGGCTATTAAAATGATTTGAATAATTTACAAAAATGTTGCAAAATAAAATTGCATTATCCTAATTGCTTCATGGCAATATAGACATTAATTTAAAGATGGTGAAATTAATCTTTCAAACACTGAATTAAACTCTATACATAATATTATGGTAAAATAGTGGATGTTAAATAGGTTTGTACAATAAGTCCAAACAAGTTTAACCAAAAAATATTTATTCCTCACAATTATGAAGGGTTAGGTTTAGGTTTAGGGTTAGGACATTGTTTGTCTTCCCATTTCGTATAGACAGTAAATTTTCGTTTGGCCGAGTAGTTTTTGTTTCTGTTTCTGCATTTAGATGCTTTTAGATTTAGATGCTTTTATCTAAAGTGACTTACAAAGTAGACACAATTTTACAGTTATCATCAATAATACGATAAGTTCTCTAGAGGAAAATCCCCAGTCAGAGTCAGTGGTGGCTGCAAAGAGAGAGAGAAGGAAGCTCAGAAAGAGGAGTAGAGGGTCCAGAGGTCTGGGGATGAGTCAGGATAAGAGATGCTCGGTGGAGAGGGGGGTCTTTAAGAGTTTCCTAAAGTTAGAAAGGGACCTACTGTTCTTGAAGTGCCTGGTAAGTCGTTCCTCCATCTTGGAACAACACATGGAAACAGTCTGGATCGTCTAAACATGGCATAGGCTCTAATAGAGTAGTCTAAGACTAGTAGGATATCTCCCTTCTGGGCTTTAACTTCTAACAAAGACTCTGATTGTCTGGAATCAGTCACAGCAACGTTTTTAAGGCGACAGAAAGGAATCCGGCTTCGGTTTTCTGTGAATTTACAGCTGGAATCTCCAAGCAAAAGCCTCACTGTGTGTGTTTATGTGTGTGTTTATGTGTGTGTGTGTGTGTGTGTGTGTCCTTGTTGCAGCATCAGAGTGAGAACCATAACTAGTTTTTAACCAACAAAGTGAGGTCTTTTTTTTAAAGTGAGGACATTTTCCTGGTCCTCACTTTATTGTGTGTGCGTGTATATGTGTGTGTTGTGTGTGTGCGTGTATATGTGTGTGTTGTGTGCTTGTGTGTTTTGTGTGACACCTAGTGGGAAAATTTGAAAACTCAATCTTTCTAAGACGCTCAGAACTACTGGTCCTCAGTTTGTGAGTCCTTATACTTGGTCCTCAGTCTTCTTACAAGAATGTGTGTGTTTATGTCTGTGTGTTTATGTGTGTGTGTGTGTGTGTGTCTTCCAGGCCGTTTCAGCGCACCATCACCATGCACAAAGACAGCTCGGGACACGTAGGCTTCATCTACAAGTCTGGTAAAATCACCTCTCTGGTCAAAGACGGCTCCGCTGCCCGGAACGGGCTGCTGACCGAACATTACATCTGCGAAATCAACGGGCAGAACGTGATCGGACTAAAGGTCAGACCCCTGCTCCCGGCAGCCTTTCAGTGTGTATCCGTAAAAATTGTGTGGTAGCTTGTAGCTCCTAGTTTTGTGTGACTTTTTCAGCAACCATGCAAAAACTCAAAGAGGAGTCTGCAATTTTTTTTTATGGAGGATGTAATTTATTTATTTATTTATTTATTTATTTATTTATTCCTTCATTTATTCTTTTAATCAGTAATTTATTTATTTATTTTTATGTTTTATTTTATTTATTTATTTATTTATTTATTTATTTATTTATTTATTCATTTATTCATTTATTTATTTATTTAATCAGGACAGTGCACATTAATGAACAATCTCATACAGATTGTAAATGAGCCAGATTCTAGCATAGTTGCTAATTCGCATCTGTCGTCCTGAGGCAGGAAGAAAAAACAACACAAGATCACATAATACAATATCAGCTAAAACAGAGAGACACACGTTCAGACAATGACATTACAAAATTAGAATTAGTGATTGCATGACTGGGAACTTTTGAGAAACAGTTTAAGGTGCTTTTTAAATGTGTAAAAACTGGGACCTTCCCTGATGTTTGTTGGGAGGCTGTTTTTTCCCCCATGAACACAGCAGTAACCTGCTAACATCAGCCAGCAGAATAATTCACTTTTTCCGACATGCTGACGTTCAGGTTCATAATTCAGAGCCGTAAAACGTTATTGGGTAAGAAACTGGCTCATACTGGAGGAATAAATGACTTAAGCTCATTGTTTACACTCCGGAGTTCCAGAGGTTCCGGGGAGGTTTCTGTGATCAGTCGTCATTAAAGTACTCAAAACCAAAGGAATAAAAGGTTAAACCTGAAAATGGCTTCAGCCTGTGACAGCAAAGCTGGATCAGGTCACAGAAGGGCTGAGGCTCCATTATTCAGTCATAAAATTACGTTTCTCCAAGTTATATCTGCGAGAAACCTCCAAACCCTTTTTTTTGGTCAGATCTTTGACCGTGCAGTTGCCTTTTTCTGCCACCGGAGGGCGCTGTTTAGCTACAGCCCGTGTAAAGAAGCCGGTGGCAGTCTGTGTTTTAAGTGCAATCAAAACCTGAAATGACAAAAGAAAACTGAGACAGAGGAGCTGAGGTGGATTAAAGAGGATTTAAGTCAAGCTTATTAAAACAATGTTGGAAAAAAAACAGAAAAGTGCTTTTAGCTAAATGAATAGAGATAAAAAGCGGCTCCGTGCACGCCTTTAACCCTTTAAAGCCTGATCCAAGAATAAAACAAAACAGAAAATTCCTTTTTTTTTTGTTTAAATTCCTTATTTGGCCTTTTGACTAAATATGTAAAAAGAAAAATACATATTTAATATTAATAGTGTTTATCCCCAAAGGCGCTGATTTTTATTGGTCAGGGAAAGAGAAAGCGGGTCCAAACTCAGGGGAGTTTCTGAATCTGTGCTCACGTTTCTGTCCATTTCCAGGATTCCCAGATCAAGGACATCCTGAACACCTCTCCAGCCACCATGACCATCACCATCATGCCCAAGTTCGTCTACGAGCACATGATCAAGAGGTGAGACTCCAGTTATTAGGTCAGACTAGGGATGTCCCCATCCAGCTTTTTTAACTTCTGATCAGATCCCGGCCTATCAGAGCATGTGTTAAAGTTTAAAGTTATTTATCTACTTACTTAGTTCTCAGACTCATGTTGAACAGGGATTTACTCTGATAACAACTTAATGGTTAGGACAGAGACCTTGGGGTTACAGATGCTAACGCTAACGCTAATGCTCGTGTGGGATCTGGATGTTAAAATATCAAATCTTCCATCAGAATACACTGTAATTCCTATAATTGGTTCCAAAAACCTACGATAACTCCTTAATAAATACTGCAGATAATTACACATAGAAATTAAGCAAATGACTTATAGAAGAGAGATGGAAAAATAAATAAATTAGAAAGAAATAATCAATAAAAATAGTTTTTACTGGCTCTCTCCATCTTTTTGCACTTCCGATCCGATCCCGGCCTATCAGAGCATGTGTTAAAGTCTAAAGTTATTTATCTACATACTTAGTTGTCAGACTCATGTTGAACAGGGATTTACTCTGATAACAACTTAATGGTTAGGACACAGACCTGTGGGTTAGGAGATGCTAATGCTAATGCTAATGTGGAATCTGGATGTTCAAATATTGGTATGTTGGTTCAAATCTTCCATCAGAATCCACTGTAATTCCTATAATTGGTACAAAAAACCTACGATAACTCTTTAATAAATACTGCAGATAATTACACACAGAAATAAAGCAAATGACTTATAGAAGAGAGATGGAAAAAGAAGAAATTAGAAAGAAATAATCAATAAAAATAGTTTTTATTGGCCCTCTCCATATTTTGCACTTCTGATCCGATCCTGGCCTATCAGAGCATGTGTTAAAGTTTAAAGTTATTTATCTACTTTCTTAGTTGTCAGACTCATGTTGAACAGGGATTTACTCAAATAACAACTTAATGGTTAGGACACACACCTGTGGGTTAGCAGATGCTAATGCTAATGCTAATGCTCGGGTGGGATTGGACTTTTAAAAAATACTGGATCTGGAGGCTAAACGGAGGCCGAATCATCCTGTTTTTACATGAAATGATCAGTTGTGTAACAACTCTAACTGCCTCTAACGGCCCCAGTGGTCTTCTTCCCTTCTTTTAAACCTTTTAAAGCTTTACTCCTGTTTTCCAGGATGTCCTCCGGGCTCCTGCGCTCCGCCATGGATCACTCCGTGCCCGAGGTGTGAGGACCCGGAGGGCTGGAAACTGCCAGGACGTGTTCTCCCCCTGTCCTCCATCATTAAACCTCCCCGTGTCACAATCCTCCTCCTAACGTCCCCTTAAGATGCCTTTTTTTCTACCGTGTCTCCTTCGCCTTTTCACCCCCCCCCTCGTCTCTTTCGGCATTATTACTGCCTGTAGTTTTACCTTGTAGTCTGATAAGTAGGACGTCTGTTTTTCTCAGCTTTTTTTTTTATTCGGTATCCAGGACAGTACGAAGTTTGAAGTTTTCTTTTAAAAAAGGAAAAAGAACAAAAAAAAAAAAGAGCGATCACGAGTCCGGAGCTTCCTGCTCAGCGCGGGGATGAGGCGGTTTCATCCTTTTTTTTTTTCCAAATGCTGTAAAAGCCCCGCCACGCAGATCCAGATCCACTTCCTCTGTAAATATAAAGAGCCGGTCCCAGATTCCACTGTACAGTCGTTTTTAGGCGCCAGTAGGCTTGATCGAACTAACGCTTTTAGGCTAAAAACCACATACTGGTTCAAACATTTCTTTTAAAGTGTTTTTTTTGTTGTTTTTTTTGGCATTTCGATTGGAGTCTTTGCGTGATTTGGGGCCCAGACGGGCTTCCTCCTCCCGGTTTATTCGGTGGTCTGTTCAGTTCCCTCCTCCGCCACCAGGGGGCGCCAAGTTAGCCGGGAGGGGTCCGTGCTGGGCGGAGCCACTAAGTGCACTTTCCATTAACCTTAATAGAGGTTGTTTTTTTTTTGTCTTCTTTCCTGTAAACATTTCAACGATTAAGTTTGACCTTTTATTTTTGGTTTTGTTTTGTTTTTTTAAATGAAAAAAAGCCCGTTTGTTGGTGCCTCCTGTCAAAGAGAGACGTGGCAAAGGCAAACTTGTATGTTTTAACAGAGAAAAAGAAGCCACAGATTCCACATCATGAGTGGGAAGAGTTCCCCTAAGTGTTGTCAGACCCCTTCCATAAACGGTGAGTCGACCCTCCTCTAAGATAAAAGAGAATTCCTTTTATTGCTGTTTTTGTGGGGATGCATGTGTTCCTTTAACTCTCTCGGTATGCAATCTGATAAACATCGCTGTCATTCTGTAAAAAAAAAAAAGAAAGAAAACGATGCTAGAAAAAATCTACAAAGTTTATATTCGAATGTAACCAAGATAATATTGTAAAACAAATACAAATAAAGTCGTTCTGTTCGCAGAGGTTGTGTTTGGCTTGGTTGGGGAAAAAAAGACGGAGGCGGGTGGTTTCCTCCATGCGGTTTAATATAGGGGTTTATTTTTTTTTTCTGTCTCCATACAGATGTCTGTACACACGACTATGCCGTAAAGCAGCTGTCTCTACACGACGTTAGCTTAAAGATGCCGGCTTTATTTCTGTACAGGGCGGTGGAGGATGGTATGAGTCTCTACATTCAAACAGTGAAACAAAAACAAAAGCAGCTCAGGGTCTCCAGCAGCATCTCAGGCTCGTCCCTCCACAGTTTCCTCACAATAAACACAAAAAGAGGAACCAGAAAAGTGCTTTTAGCTAAATAAATAAGAGATAAGAAGCGGCTCCGTGCACGCCTTTAACCCTTTAAAGCCTGATCCAAGAATAAAACAAAACATAAAATGACTTTTTTTTTGTTTGAATTCCTTATTTGGCCTTTTAACAAAATATGTAAAAAGAAAAAAACATATTTAATATTTATAATTTATTACTATGCAAGTCAAGATTATTTTTTGTGTAGTCTTCTGCCCCGTTATCAGGTGTATCTGATAGTGTACAATAGGATTTTGCTATGAATGCCTATTTTTCCTCATCAGATGGTTATCAATTTTTATAAATTCATATGATGTGATTTTTCTGGAATTTTCTTTGGGATTCTGGCTTTCACTGTTAGAATGTACATATGATTAAAGTTATAGATCGTTGCATTCTTTGTAAGTGGGCAAACCTGCAAAATCAGCAAGGGGTCAAATACTTATTTCCCCCACTGTACCTATGACTGACGGGCTCGTTAAAACTCTTAAAACTGAACATTTTTGTTTAAAAACACAAAAATGTAAGTTTTTATAATGCCTGATTCATTTTAGGGATCTAAAAGAATATTCTGGTTTGCAAAAATGAGTCATATGCCTCCATTTCTGCACATAAATGGTTCAACGATGTTTGTGATTACGGCTAAAAACGAAGCATTTAATCCATCAGTGTGGGATAAAAACAAAAAGAATCAAAGCCAAAGACGGTAATAGAGTCAGGAAAGTCAACTCGGATGAATTCCTGTATGGTAGAGACGAGTCTGTCTGGAGGAAATATATTACAGACAAATCTGAACACTCAACAAAGGACGTTTTCAACTTTGGGAATCCAAAACTGGGCAACAGAAAGCCTCAGAGTGAGACCCAACCCAGTTTGTACAGCGTGAGAACATCTGAACACAATCACAGAAGACAGTTAGGCCCCATTTTTTCTTTTCAAATGTTCTTTCGTGTTGATGTTTTGCATAATAATAAGTTGAAAATGTCAAATGGACACTTGAAATCTTTGCTCACAAAAACAATAACAGTGAAATGAGTGAAGTGATTAATGAAGTGAATTTAATTCCTAAACATTCAGCAGAATTATTGGGTTAAGTCCAACAGAACGAGAGCCATTTCACCCATTTAAAAAAGATAAATATCTGTTTATAGACAATCTTCTAAATGATTTTTGGTAGGAATAAGACGCTTTATGTGAATAAAACGCTGAAAGGAACAAACAATCCAACACAAAACATCAACTTCTTCTCTTTAAATGCGTCTTTTCCGTCATCCAAACAAAACGCCTCGGACTTTGGCAGGAAACTTCCTATTTGGCCTCATTTTATGACAGCAACTTTCTGGGAAATCCTCTTGTTTTAGGTCCGTTTTCCACCTTGTTTCCTCATTCGAGTCTCTTTCCACCTGATGTTTTCTGTGGTGTTGATGCAGAAAGTGTTGAGGGGGGTTGAGGAGGACCAGAAAAAAACAGAAAAACCCCAAATATCAGAGGAACCAACCACCGTTTGCATAGAAACGGGAGGGCTGAAGATGAACAAACTTAGGGCCTTCGGCTTTAATCATCGTCAGACGCTCTGATTGGTCAGGTTTTAGACGAGGAAGTGGTCCCCCCCCCATCACCCCCCCCCCACACACACACACAAACAATCCACAGTCTATGGCTTCTTCTGGAACAGGAAGAGCTCCAGCCTCCTGGTCCATGTTCCCCCCCACACAGACAGGCAGAGGCCACCAACACGCTAACAACATGCTAACAACACGCTAGCAACACGTAACCAAGGAGGTCACTAGGACCCAGAAAATGGCGACTTACGATTGTCGTCGACATCTGACAGAAACACGTACGTCTGTCTGCAGGCTGCAGGAAGCCAAGGATGGATATCCAACTCCACCCACAAACATCCAAGTCGGCCATTTTGATTAGGTCACCAATAGGAAGATCCCAGGCAAAGAAGATCGTAATTGCTTCATGGCAATATAGACATTCGTTTAAAAATAGTTAAATTAATCTAGCGAACACTGAATTAAACTCTATACATAATATTATGTTAAAATAGTGTATGTTAAATAGGTTTGTACAATAAGTCCAAACAAGTTTAACCAAAAAAATATGATTTCTCACAATTATGAAGGGTTAGGGTTAGGTTTAAGGTTAGGTTTAGGGTTAGGGTTATGGTCAGAGTTAGGTTCAGGGTTAGGGTTAGGGTTAGGTTCAGAAAAAGGGTTAAGGTCAGGGGTAGGTTTAGGTTAAGGGTTAGGAAACAAGGGTTAGGGTCAGGGTTAGAGTCAGGGTTAGGTTTAGGGTCAGGGTTGGGGCTAGGGTTAGGATTAGGGTCTTATTCAGGGTTAGGGTTAGGGTCAGGGTTAAGTTTAGGTTTAGGACATCGTTTATCTTCCGATTTCGTACAGACAGTAAAGTTTCGTTTCCACCTCAGAAAGCTGCTAGTCACATGACCTAATCAAAATGGCCGACTTGGACGTGGGAGGAGTCGGACATCCACCTCCAGGCTCCTACAGGCTGCATTCAGAGGCCAAACAGCAAAACACAACCGGACGAACGCACAATCTCAGCTTCAAGTAGTTCAAGTAATCGATAAAGTGAACGGTAGTGCAAAAAACTATGGCGGGAAAGTAGGATTAGGGGGGTGTGAATGTCCAACGGAGAGCAACAGGACGGGGAACCGTGACTTTCCAACTGATCAGAGGCTCCTGATTGGAGGAAGACGAGTCCTTCTGGATCTGTACACAAGTCTTTATCTATTTTATTTATTTATGCAGCCAGAGGGGACGTTTCTCCTCCTTTAAACTCGATTTTCTTTTGTTTGGAGCTCGGTTTGGCTAACAGGCGGGCGGAGAGGGGTGGGCCGATCCAAGTTTTCCAGACGGGGGGGGAACGGCAATCCCAATGTGGGAAAACTGGGTTCTCTGAGCTCGTTCAGTTCCCATTTAGTCTCCACGTTAAATCCGGATTACACTTTCTCACCACACAGAGGAAAAACACACACAAAAAACGGTCATTTAAGTCTACTTATATCTGGAAAAAAAAAAGGCGTTTTCACTGAGACTCTAGCCAAAAATCCTCGTCGGAGCACGTTCACAGGCTCCCGGTTGTGTTGTTCACAGTAACTGCAGGAAGCCAAGGATGGATATCAAACTCCCCCCACATCCAAGTCGGCCATTTTGATTACGTCACCAATAGGAAGATCCCATGCAAGAAGATCGTAAATGCTTCATGGCAATATAGATGTTAATTTAAAAATAGTTAAATTAATCTTGCAAACACTGAATTAAACTCTATAAATAATATTATGTTAAAATAGTGGATGTTAAATAGGTTTGTACAATAAGTCCAAACAAGTTTAACCAAAAAATATTTATTTCTCACAATTATGAAGGGTTAGGGTTAGGGTTAGTTTTAGGGTTAGGGTCAGGGTTAGGGTTAGGGTTAGGGTCAGGGTTAAGGTCAGGGTTAGTATTAGGGTTAGGGTTAGGTTTAGGGTCAGGGTTAGGGTTAGGATTAGGACATCATTTGTCCTTCTTTGACAGTAAAGTTTCGTTTCCACCTCAGAAAGCTGCTAGTCACATGACCCAATCAAAATGGCCGACTTGGATGTGGGAGGAGTTGGATATCCGACCGAGGCTCCTACAGGCTGCAGCCAGAGGCTACCATAGTGACCGGTTAATTCTTAGAGGGTAGATTTGATTTACACGACACCAGAGGGAGACGACACCACGAGATAAAGAGGGTCAGCAGAAATTTACAGACACGACTATCCAACTGGGCCAGTGAGGACCTAGAACTTGTTAGAACTGGGCTATAATTACTCACTTTAGCACAGTATGCTACAACTTAATCCATGTAAACGACTGATTGTCTTATTCCTTTTTAGATTTATATTATTCCCTTTATAATTCTACTTTTGGGTTAAACTCTCTGGAAACTCTCTAGATACTCATCTTTAAGGTCAACATTCACACTTTCTAATCACATTCCACCAAAACCTGCATGAATTAGGACCTGGCCTGTTCCTGTCAGAGCTAACTGGCCAATAACACTCGTCCTCCTGTTTGAGGCCCAGAGGAAAACTGTCCATCACCCCCGGAAATCGAGGCTCTTTGCTAACTGAGATCCTCCAGGAGTCATATTTGTACTCTTGATCTGCTCTGGTTTATTCTCAGGCTTCCAGCTAAAGAACCAAAATAACAAGCTCAATCTACAGACTCAGATCAGACCAGTTAAAGATGAATTTTCTCACCGGTCGTGTCC